CTGAGCTGAATGCCGCTGTCTGCTCGACCTTGAGCGCCTGTTAGTAGCGATGTTAGCTGTTGGCTGATCCGATCCATGTTCAATCACATTTGAGGATTCCTCACCCACATTCATTAATGCTTCAAATATGTTCTCAAGATGTATGGGGTGGTAGAATACCAGTATTCACAAGCCTTGTCATAGCTGAATCTGGGGTAGAGGATGCTACAGCAGCAATACGAGAAACTCGTGACATGTCTCGTGACAACTCTGATGTCTCGTGTGCCTTTGGGTCTCGCTCCCTGTTTGTGCTATTGATTAGTGTGACAATCAGTTTCGGCTTGTTCCTCTACACTTCGTATAAACTGTTGAGATTCACTAGATTCATGGGACTCACCGGCTGTATGCTGAGGGGGTCCATGATGACGGTCTGCTGTGTGTTTCGCCTGTTTTGGAAGTCCAGCAATTAACTTTGTTTCAAGAACCGCAATCCTTTGTAGAAGTTTGCAGTAGTTCATGCAGCAAGTATATTCAACAGGAGGCATTTTCTTTCTCTTCTGTTTGAATGTGGGCAGCTGTGTTTTCCCTTCTCCGGAATGTAAGCTGCTGGCAGTGGGAGGCAAAAGTCTTCTTTTTAGCAAGTAGATTCAACAGGAGGCATTTTCTTTCTCTTCTGTTTGAATGTGGGCAGCTGTGTTTTCCTGTCTCCGGAATGTAAGCTGCTGGCAGTGGGAGGCAAAGTTTTATTTTTCGTGGTATTATTCCAGTCCCAAAGAGTTTTTATTTTTAGTGTTTGTGCCAAAAATGTGTTGTTTGAGCACTGTGTTGATCTGCTGAAGTAAAAATCTTTGAAAAATCCGAGAAAAGCACAGAAATAGGGAGCAAAGCGCAGAGCAGTAAGCAAGATTGTCCGAACGGTAGCGAAGCCGGAAGCAGTAGATGTAAAGCACTAGAAAAGTTCAAATACCAAAGAATTGTATGAACTTGGCATGCACCACAATACAGTACACTAAAAATAAAATTAAAAAAGTAAATTTAGCATCCTTTGCACATTTGGCCAAATTTCATTACAGTATACAATACTATAGCAGTTTCTTGGTCTCCTGACACAAGACTATATCTCTAGGCAGTCATTTCTCAGTTCTTCAAAAGTGCAGTACACATAAAAAATGGTTACAAATAAAATTTGACAGTCACACGCTTAAAGGTGTACAACATGTGCTACAGTTTACTGTACCTATAGAATAGTGAAATTTCCATTATCTGGAAAAGCAGCTAACTTAATAGCTGCTTTTCCACTGTCGGGCCAGTGCAGGCCAGGGTTAACAATGAGCCAGGTGGAGCTATTAGCCTCGGCTATAAAGTGGCGAGTCCAAAAACATGCTGCGTTTTCCACTTGTAGACCAGGGGTGTATTCCAGAAAGCGGGTTTTGTTGGAAACTCAGAGTATGTTAACCCCAGAAAAGGGAAACTCCACGTTTTTGGTTCCAATAAAAGACAAAACTAAACCTCTCAGTAAGCAACTTACTCTGTGAACCTAACCTGGGTTGCGTTACCCAAAAGCATAATTAGCTAACTATGGTCATTAGTTCCATAGGATTTAGGATCCTGTAGATGAGGAGGCTGCATTAATTCATAGGGAGTTACATTTACATGAGGAGAGGATTCGGTTTTATTTTATTTATTTATTTATTTTTGCCATATCCACGTGCATATTTATTTGAGCGGTATTGTCACGAATCCAGTCTATGAACTTCCATTCACTCACCACCAGAGGTCACGCGCTCACTACATTGACTCTCATGCCTTGCCTGTTTTCCGGTCCTTTGACTATTGCTCGTGCTTACAGCCATACCACCCTGTCTGTGCCCGGTCTCGTCTGTTACGGGGCGACAGAGACGTGAGACGTGCGGATCCATCTGCATGTTTTTCTTTAAGAGACGTGGTCATAACAGGCATGGGTCAAACAATAGCAAACAGGTACAACACAGGCAAGACAAAGTGTAATCCTAGGACAAGCGTGGGTCATCGATCGGCGAACGTAATCCAGAGGGCTTGAGAAAAGGGGTAATCTGTAAACACGAGCAATAGTCAAAGGACCGGAAAACAGGCAAGGCAAAACTAGACTAGGACTTGGAAATAAACAATGGCTAAGGAAATGGCTCCGTAATGTAGCTATCACTGACTAGCGATAAGCAAATGTCACACCACCCCAAAATTTCACAGTGTGAGGGGTAAATGAAAGAAAACTATCTATATCGCAAAACGAACTTGACAGAAGCTGAAGTTTGGTCCTGACATGAAGACGTAAAGGCTTCAGTATCTATATATTTTATTTACCAATGATTTACATTAAAAACAGTAATTTATTCATTCGTGTCAGCATGCTAAATCAAACTGATATTTCTTATTTCACATAAAACGAGAACATTTACAGCTGCTCAGTTTATTTGTGATGACTAGAATGCACAAAATAACTCTATTAGGGCTTTTAAGTCCAAATGCGTACACGATAAAACACGATAGAATTTTTTTTATAAACCCGTGGATGTGTATGTCAAATCTCTTTAAAAAGATTGAGCATTTATGTTTATTTTCCACGATGCACAGAAAAGTAGCACATTTATTGTTTAGGCAGTCCTAATCGTAGACCAGACAAAAGAAAATTGTGTGTGTTGCAGGATTTTATCAAGGGTGGCAGATGGGATAATTGATGTTGGGGGTAAGAATTCCAGAGAAGGTAAACGGTGAGATGAAGTGAAGTTGGAGCCTGGTGGTTCCGTGACAGTGAGGAGCATCAGAGGATTAATCTTAGTTTGGTTTACTATTTAAAACTATATAAAATTGGGTAAAACATTGCAATTATTTCAGTAAAGAATGTAAGCAAACATGTTTCAAACCCTAAGCAAACTAATTCACGCAATAATAATATAAATTATCATTTCAATATTTTATTATTGCAACTTTATATCCAAAAATACTAAAAGTAGTATTTCTTCTTATTATTATTATTATTATTAATGTTAAATAAAATAACTGTCACTGTCAGTCTGACACAGAATTTATTAAGGAGCACCCCACCCATTTGTGAATCAATGTTTCATTCCAATTATACCTGACCAATCTTTCTTGGTGTTGGATCTTCTTCTTCAACAAATATCTGGCTCCAAATCCAGCCTCGTCTCACTCTCAGATGGGACCCGCGAGAGATTTTACTTGAACGGAGCTCATGCTGTTTTTTTGAGATTATAAAGTCACCCCCTAGCCAGCCAGGCATGATGGAGATCATGAGAAGCGCATGAAGAGCAGAACAGTTGTCCATTGTTGAGAAGTTATTTGAATCAGTATTTCACTGAATGTTATGGCTAGATGTCATGTTGATGATGCAAAGGGAGGACACAGACTCAAATAGCATATGTGCCAAAACTCCATTAGAAGGAAATGATGACTCTTCTGTTACTGAGAAACAGGAAATATATTGTTAGAGTGATTTATAAGGTTGTGGTTAAAGTGAATATAATTCTTCAATAGACTGAACTTTTGGAGTCAATCTGGGGCACACATAATCTATTAGAGTGGGAATTCTGGCTAATCATAAAACCAGGTTTAATCTGTTTTTATTTTCTGCACTGACTTTGAGGAGCAATATCTAACCCTAACAGATTTGAACGTATTTAAAATTTGTATAATGTTATAGACAGAGCTCATAATACTTTCGCTGGCAGTCATAACTATTCTCAACTAAAATGCTTAACCAAAAATGCAAAGGGCAAACCTTTTTTGTGCATGGATAAATCATTTATAAAAAAACACTGCAATATTCTATTAAAAGATTGTGGTGGTGGTGGTGGTGGTGGTGGTGGGGGGGGGATAACAGTTAGTTATTTCCTAACTGAAATAACGTCTTAGAATATCTTTTTGGCAGATAAATGTAACAGTAACAATAGCTTATCACTAGTATCTCAGTCAAACTGCCATATTTACCAAAAATGTATCTTAAATTTTGCAAATCAAATGTCAAAGGCAAGCCTCCAAGGTTAACAAAAAACACAACACAGCGATATACTGGCGAGAAGATAAGAGGCAGTTTTTCTTTAAATTTATGTAAATGGAGGTGAGGCTATATATAAATGTAAATATAATCACAACTTAAATTAACAGTTTTTTATTTCATATTTTTTAAATAAACATACATTTGTGATTAAATGCTAAATTAACAAATATTAAATTGGGATTACTATTTGTCATATTTTATGTGTGTTTCTTTAAAGGTACTTCACTCTGGAGTCTGGAGTTGTTTAATAAAAAACCATGATGACAAGACATAAAATAAGCCTTTCAGAGTCAAATACATTCTACTGCTTAATGTTGAACCACAGCATTATTTTGACTTCCTGCACATCTTTTCATCACTCTTGTTACAAATCCAAAATGCTTTACCCAGTCAGCTAGCTCTATTGAAAATAGATATACATATATATTCACAAACATGTGTTTAACATTGGGTATATTTTAATGTTTAGTATTTTAAATGTGTATTTCTAATACTGCACAAAACTTTTTTGAAAAGACTGCGAAGACACAATTGAATATTTTCAAAGTTTATCCCATCCTACAGTCAAATCTTCAGCACATTTTAATTAGTCATTATGGGATTCATGTTGTGATGTGTTGTTTACTGTTATGCATCACAGTAATGAAACCCTGTGTTTTTGAATTGTAACTATATTTAAAATTAAAAAAAGACATTTATTCATGTAAAACTGTTTGAAAGATAATATGAGAAAAAGTTAAAATGTTGTGTTTAAGTACACTAAGAAGTTTTGAATAACTTTGTTTTTAAATATTTAGAAAATGTTTATTTAATTGAATATTACTGACAAGCTAATATGTATCTAATTTATTCTGATTTTTAGTACAAGTATGATTTTAAAATCTGTTAAGGAGGTTAGTCACATATACAATCCAAATGTTTGTCAATATGTAATGGTAATGTTTTTGAACAAAGTGTCAAGTATAAAAAAAAGAGCTCACCTGTATCTCTGAACAATATCAGCAACTCTCTCAAAATCACCATCAGGCTTTACTCAGTTGTTTATTAACACAATTTAGATCTGTTAACTGGTCACAAACTGCAGTTCTAATGTTTACAGCTCTCAAAATGTCCCTTCGTCCCTCCAATGACCACCTCCCATTTCTCCCCCATTTGTCTTTTTTCCTCATACATTCTGGAGGAGAGCAAACAGTGCTTTTATTGTCAGAGCACAGTGACACACACATCATTCTTCTTCATGCAAACAGCCTAGACCAGTGGCTGCTCATCTCAAACCTCTGTTTCCAACAATACAGCATTTATTAGCTTTATCCCACTGCAGGCCTGCAGTACATTCATCTGAGTGTGAACTGTTCCAGAGACTGAAAGGAAGAATGTTTCTGACATTTAAATGCCCCATGAGCCCCTTTTTCCTTATTAACCCACAGGCATTATGACACCACGTTCAAAAACAGGAACATATTTAAAAAAATGAAATATGTTTTAACATAAGTTAAACAACTGAGTTAAACAACAAGTTTCACATTGCATTTGATGAACATAAATAAAATATTGAGTCCCCGAATGAGTAGAGGGTGGTTGGAGGTAAATAATTAATATATAATAATGATTAACCACTTGTAAGTTGAAGTTTTCTAAGTCTAGTCTCGTTCTGTAAATCGTCCGGGCAGAACTATTGTTCCAGCCACCAAAGACAGATTCCCAAATAACCTGCCTGACTTATCTCAACTGCTCTGTGTCCCCATAAATACACATGAACTAGACGAAATGACTAGCAACATGGGCACTATATTCTCTAATACATTAGAAGCTGTTGCCCCCATCACATTGAAAAAGGTTAGAGAAAAACGTACAGTGCCATGGTACAACAGTAATACCCTCTCTCTCTAAAAAGAAACTCGTAGTCTTGAGTGCAAATGGAGAAAAACGAACTTGGAAGTTTTTAGAATTGCGTGGAAAAACAGTATGTGCAGCTACAGACAGGCTCTAAAAGCTGCCAGGGCAGAGCATATCTGCAAACTCATAGAAAATAACCAAAACAATCCAAGGTTTTTATTTAGCACAGTGGCTAGATTAACAAACAACCAAACGCCACCCGATCTAAATATTCCCTCACAGGTTAATAGTAATGACTTTATGAATTTCTTCACTGAAAAAATAGATAAAATCAGAAATACAATAACAAATGTAGATTCTACAGCGTATAATACTTCAGCTTCATTCATCGCACCAAAAGATAAACTGCAGTGCTTTACAACTATAGGACAGGAAGAGCTAAATAAACTTATCACTGCATCTAAACCAACAACATGCCTGGTAGATCCTGTACCCACTAAATTACTGAAAGAGTTGATGCCTGTAGCAGAAAAAAACGCTTCTCAATATTATTAAAGGGGTCATATGATGCTTTTTTAAAGATCATTATTTTGTGTATTTGGTGTAACAGAATATGTTGACATGCTTTAATGTTCAAAAAACACATTATTTTTCAAATACTGTACATTATTGTAGGTCCTATATGCCCCGCCTCTCTCAAACGCTTCGTTTTCTACAAAGCCCCTCCTTCCGACAAGCGCAGTCTGCTCTGATTGGCCAGCTGACCCAGTGCATTGTGATTGGCCGAACACCGCAAGCACTCGTCGGAAATGTAACGCCCCTTACCATAATCGCGAGCTTCATCTTTCAAAATAAATGTAAAGACAGTAAATAATGTCATTAGTTTTACC